AAAAAGATATAGGTTATGTATGAAATACTTGACGTAATTATTTCTTATACAGGGTGTCCCAGAATTCGCGCCATTCCCGTGAATGACATGTTCCCTGTCCCGAACTGTGCCGTAATTCGCAAAAAGAATTGTCCAGGCTTTAACCGTGTGAGAACTGGAAGGCGATTAAGTTGACCAATAGAGAGGCTGCTTTTATATCCGAACGTTTCTATGTTCAAAGTTACCTATGCCAAGAACAAAAAATCGGGTAATACTAAAGTTGAATTAATTTTTTCCGAATCCCCCTCCGTCAACAAAAGGAAACAGAAGTGTGGTTATAAATTTAATCATTTTGACAATTGTTTGTCATAAACTGTCACGAAGTTTATCACTGACCTGAAGAGACGCTTCTGCGCCAAAGATGACTGATTAATGTACACAGAGACATCAAGGTTTACTTTAAGGCAAGTAGCATGGGACAGAAGTTATTTCTGCTGCCATTCTAGTTAAATTGTGTTTAACTGGGCTGTACATGTCATAAGAGAAGCTGTTTCATTTCATCGTAAGCAAATAATACATTTATTACTATTCTACATAGAGTAGCTACCGAAGAGCAGGTATTAGAAGTCATTTTCTCAGAGCCCCGTGAATAATCGTCGGCACCCAGACCAACATGTGTTTCACCGATTGTTACATCGAGCAAGAGAAGATGGATCTTTTCAACCTAGTCGGAAAGGCGGTGCTGGGGCTCCACGGAATGTACGTGTAGGTGCTGAAGAGCAAGTGTTAGAAAACATGGAAGCGGATCCTAGGAGAAATGTCCTCTACGTAGCGCAAATGAGTGGATGCTCAAGATCGACCACTCATCGTATCCTTCAAGAGAGAAGACTGCATCCTTACCATTACACGAGAGTGCAGCATCTGCGACCAACCGACTACCCGCGACGAGTACATTTTGCTCAATGGTTACTGTTAGAAGAACTGGAAGAGAGACTGCACGAAGCCTACGCTACAGTTACTCCTGAGATGTTAAATAATACACAACACAACATAATTCGACGAGCTAGAACTTGCATTGAAGTTAATGGTGGTAATTTTGAGCACATTGTTTAATAACGGTACAGTACAACGATTCCAGCCCATAGATTAATAGTATTGCTCTTGATATGCTCTCACGTTAGCGAAATGTGGATTTTCGTTTGCCAAGAAGTGCCAATTGTGCGCATTAAATATTCCTTTTCGGGAAAATCAACATTCGTCGGCGAAAAGAATGTGCCGTGAAAAATCAGGATTTAGTTCATTTTGTCGCAGTAACCATTTAGCAACATGCACTCGTCGCGCAGTCGGCTCGTCGCAGATGCTGCACTTTCGTCAATAGTAAGGATGCAGATTTTTCTCTGTAAGGATACGATGCATGATCGATCTTGAGCATCCAATCATTTGTGCCACTTGTTCTTCACCGTCTATGCGTATAATCCGTGGAGCCTCAGCACGCCTTTCCGAATAGGCTGAAAAGATTCATCTTCTTTTGCTAGATGCAACAAACGACGAAACACATGCTGGTCAAGGAGCCGATGATTGAGGAAAAGACCTGCACTGCTATGCACGCACAGCAGTGGCTGCATAGCGTGTACATTCTCCATAAATTAACATCATTTTCAAATATTCTTTATACTAGTATGAATAAGACATCAATAACTTAGTGGTATTGGTACTGATTTGTTTATAGTTTGTATTGTTCTTAAAAAAAATTGCAACTAAACGATTTTTGTTATAATTTTTATTCGTATCTTTTCAATCTCTAGAAAGTACTCACAACTTTAAAGAAACTGTTTTAAATCATCATGTGCAACATCAATATTATTCTTGAATAAGTCTCAGTTTTCAGTATCTCCCCCATATGATTGACACCACAGCAGATACCTATGATCTTAATACACCAGAGAAGTGTAGTCTCGTCTTTTTTTTTGTTGCTTAGATTAGGTATCAGCAACAAAGCTGTTCAGTAAAAGTTGATACTGTTTATTGAAAATCATAAGCACCGATTAATCAAAAGCGATATTTATGTTTTAGTACACTTAATAACGTTCTTTGAATGGACATGTGGTACTCTTTTTTAGAAATAACGATAAACTTACTATCAGGCATATGATGCATTCTGAAAATGTACTAATTTTCGTTAAAAAGAACAACACATTATTCACGGGGCTCTAAGAAAATCACTTCTAATACCTGCTCTTCGGTATCTACACTATGTAGAATAGTAATAAATGTATTATTTGCCTACGATGAAATGAAACAGCTTCTCTTATGACATGTACAGCCCAGTTAAACACAATTTAACTAGAATGGCAGCAGAAATAACTTCTGTCCCATGCTACTTGCCTTAAAGTAAACCTTGACGTCTCTGTGTACATTAATCAGTCATCTTTGGCGCAGAAGCATCTCTTCAGGTCAGTGATGAACTTCGTGACAGTTTATGACAAACAATTGTCAAAATGATTAAATTTATAACCACACTTCTGTTTCCTTTTGTTGACGGAGGGGGATTCGGAAAAAATTAATTCAACTTTAGTATTACCCGATTTTTTGTTCTTGGCATAGGTAACTTTGAACATAGAAACGTTCGGATATAAAAGCAGCCTCTCTATTGGTCAACTTAATCGCCTTCCAGTTCTCACACGGTTAAAGCCTGGACAATTCTTTTTGCGAATTACGGCACAGTTCGGGACAGGGAACATGTCATTCACGGGAATGGCGCGAATTCTGGGACACCCTGTATACTACAATGAATAAATGTATACAACTAGCATTGTAGTTGGTAGACTGTGGAAGATAAAATTAATTCAGCGACAAGTTTAGTGTAGACGGTTTTCTTTATCTTGAAGATTTAGGTTAGGTTTGATTAAAACTCAAAGCAAAATCATTTTGCGCCAAAAAAATTGAAGATTCTTTAATTGTCTTTTGGTTTCTACTAAGGAAAAAATAGTATATTAACGACGTTTGTGAAGCCAGTTCTAGATCTTGTGCTTAGAGCCCTCGACGCTGCACGTCTCGCGCCCTAATTTGCGCTCGTTCTGGAATGATTGTCTTCACAACCTTGGTTAATAATATATGTACTATTTTATGTGCACTTCAATCTACTTCTTTGTATTTTTAGAATTCGAATAATAAATACTTTATTTGGTCCAACAATGCTGCATGTATGTGTTTCAGTGAGCAATACCTTCGTCACCCTTCGTTAAGCGTATGAACTCATATGTTACATTTTTTACAAATTCATATATTTTAAACTCAACAGTAGACGTTTCACTCACGATGTTTACAACACTTGATAAATTGTACAAAATCAGCTCATAGTTACTTTTTTTGTGATGTACACTTTTATAACAATCTTACATACATAGATAAACTACATTAATTAATAAAAAGTTTTAATACAATCTGTTACGGAATTGAATGCAAAAGAAATATCTGGCGGTAGAACTCATCAATATATGTAACTTGGTTATGTAACATTTTTTCGAAAACTCATTGTTTTAGGCCTTTTTCCCCCTTCGTTTTAACGAGCCGGTCAATGTATCAAAACAAACTCATTTTCGTTGACAGAGAGGTTTTTGCGCAAATTTTTGCCGCAAAAACGACCGAGTGCGTTGTAACTTGATTACAACGTGCAATTGGCAGTGAATTCTTGCAGTGTTAGGATAGTTTTTCCAGGGTAAAAGGTGGTATAATGGTTTATATCAACGTAGAAAACAAGGATATGATACTTTGGTTCGATGAGGCTTTCGACGACAACAACAACGCCCAGAAGGCGAGACGTCTGTACAGTGTCCGCTTCCCAAACCGACGCTGGACACATGTTTACTGCAACAGTTTAACACCTACGTGATTTCAGAAAATTTCAAACCCCCGATCACAATCGGGGGCATCAGCGCACAAATCGGGTTCTGGGGCTGAAACCCAAAATTTTGGATGTTGTTGCCGAAGAACCCCATTTCAGCCTTTGTCGACTGACACTTTGTATGGGTATTTCAAGGATTGCACCCATACCACCTTCAACGTCTGCAAGCGCTAAAAATTTATGTTACCCAGTGGTTAAATGTCATTTCGAAAGCAAGTGGATTACTTGACATATACCAGTGCTGTGACCTCCTCATTCCTCGGACTTAACTCCCTGTATTTTTTTTGTGGGGACATATGAAGGAGTTAGTGTACGCGAACCCGTGTATTATGTGGAAGAACTAACTGCACGTGTGAATGCTGTGGCTGGAACAATTCGTCAAAATCCGGCTGAGTAGAGGATACAGTACAGAGTTCAATGGCCCGGTGAATTGAAGAATTCAGTAGCAGAGAAGTGCGACATTTTAAGCAATTTTTTACTACAGTCATCAACATGTATTTATTTTGTTGTTAATAAATAAGCCCTTTGGGGAATAAATTGGGTTTTCTTGTATTTATTATTTATTGCTTCCTTCATAAACATATGTGGGCGACGACCTTATCACCTCATGTAAGCGTGCGTTTTTGTTGCATCGAAAACGGTAATTAATAACACAGGCGAATATCCATTTTCATAGTCCCTGTATTTTCAGTTTTAATTCTTGAATAATAGAGTTTTGAAGAAAATGTTATATAGAAAAATGTATGGTAATGATGAACTCTAAACCAGTTAAATTTTTTGCAATCAATTCCATAACACCCTGTATATCACCTTCATCTAGGATTCAGTTGGTTTTTCAAATGCAGCTTTACGTAGGTAATATGATAATAATGGAACATTAGAATTCAATCATAAACCAAATTTACATGTTAAATGTAAAATTTAAATGGTAATATAAAGCATGTACAAGTAAATTACATATTAAAAAAAAAATTAACTTTTATTGTTTATTGCGTAACTAATTATCTTAATCAACGGTATATTTTCAGAAAAGTCGTTCTCAATTTTTACTAAGCTGCCATGTATAATATAATAATTTAGTAAACAATTTCATAGTCATAAAGATATTTTTTTTTAGGCAAACCATCCACATAGGCTATACCGATTTTACAGAAGACGAAATCAAAAGACTAAAAAATGAACTTGGAAAAGAATTTCGTGGCGATCGTTATCACCTTATGAATAACAATTGTAATCATTTTTCTGGAGCTTTTACCAAGGTTAGCGTATTTTCAATTGATGTTAAGATGAACAGTAATATATTTTAGATCCTATGTGGTCAAGATATTCCACCATGGGTAAATCGATTAGCGTACTTTAGTAGTTGGGTACCATTTCTGGAACGTTGTTTGCCAAAAGAATGGTTGATGCCAATGGCGTTGCAACACTCTCTAAGTCACAGACAAGATTCAACTTGTTCAGAATCATCAACTTCACCATATTAACCCTTGCCAAAAAATCGATAGGAACATGAATTAAATACGGATTGGTATACTTATTATATAACACAAAGTAATATTTTATTTTTATATTGATTTAATGGTGACTATTGACAACGTTAGCTCTATTTTTTTTTTTTTTTGTTTGATAAAACCTTGTCTTGTATATATATTTTGATAGAATCGTTCTGTATTACTATGCCAAACTATTTTAAAGAGATATGTATAAACATGGATTTCCTACTATCAACTAATGAATTATGTTTCACAAAAAATTTGAGGTCAATATTTTGGGATCTATTATTTGGCGTCTTTTATTTTCCCAGGTTCGTTGTAAGTTTGTACACGCAACTTATTTTTTCTGTTTTATATCTTCCACATTTCCAAAATTTACAAATTAGAGTTCATGGTTTAATACATGACGCAAAAGGGAATTGTCTTAGTGTTGCCGTCCTAATTAATTATTGTGGAGCGTTGTTGAAATTATTTAATTTGAATCATATATTTTGCTGCTGGTGCACATTATTCTCATGACCTCAGTGACTCATAGCATTCATGTTAAATTAATTTATGTGTTAAATCAACCTCCGTATAAAACCCTGGTAAATATGATGCATACCACGTACTATATATGAGAATACTTCATTATATGAGTACAGGTGTTCCAATACAACTGAACTTTCAAATTACTTTAAAATTAGCGCGAGTAAAGAGATGATGCAATAGAGAATTTACATAAAATGTGCAACATTTTATGTAAATTCTAAAAAATAACATTATAAATTTATCGTGAAACTTTGAGTTTTTTCCAACTTTAGTTTTAAATAGAGCCATCTGTTTTTCATTTTTATATTTTTATTACATAGTCCTTGTACATTTAGTAACAGTACAAAAGCGAAAACTTTCGAAATGTTTTGACAGCAAAATCAGTACATGCAATTGAAAGATGTAAAATTATTCAAAACTTCGTATAGAAGAAGTGTGATTTGTTTATAAGAAACTTTATCCAGCTGTCATAGGTGATGTCTAGACAGCGGATTTCTGTCGGGCTACGTCACGATTATAAGTGGGGACGCGTAAATCGCTGCGAATCAGTAGCGGGTGATGATCAGTGCATTTAATCTTCACTTATTCCATAAATACAATTAATGAAAACTTAATTCGTAAAACAGCTAAGTAAATGAGAACGAGAATCAACAGCAAAGTACAACGAAGCACCGTTACTCTATTCCAAAATAAACAGGTACAGCCCGTACCTGCACTGAATTCCCATCCCGCACGAGCCGTACCGAGTTTGGCCTTGCCAGGCCCAACAGAAATCCGCTGTCTAGCTGATGGCCGATGTTTGACACTACAAAAAAGGATTGCCTTAATTATAACTAATAATGCTGGTAATGATTATTGTTCCAGTTAATTATTTATGATAAATAGTGCTCTTCAACTGTTTATAAAACGTGTGGATATCTGCTGTGTGATTTTTACTTCCCAAGCAGAAACTAAGGAAGTATTGTAATCGAATCTATCGGGCGAATGGCTACTTTCGCATTTTCTTAGTGTATCATGACATTCATGACCCCGAGAGTACAAAAACATAGTCTCTCGTGTCTGTCTGTTTGTCCGTCGTCCTTGTAAATTTATGTTAGATAGATAATCCCCGAAACTACCGGACCGATTGTTTTTAATTTTTATATGTGTATTATGAACAGTGCGCGAAAATTTATCTTACGGCTCCAATTCCCCAGTTGAAGTAAGGTCTGTTTTACGGCGAGTAGCGGGGTCGCTTTGATCTGGTCCACAAGGTCGTAGCCAATGCGTCTCTAGGAGTGTTTACAGCTAGTAAAAAAAACTACTTCTATATTACTTCAAATAATAATACTCGGTGCCCTTATTAATTTTTCAACCACGGGACCACAGATTTGTGATCTTGAAATGTTATATTATATTGATATAGTCCAAAAGAAAAATATATTTGTAATCAAAGTATCGACGCGGCAGCACTGGATCGAGCGTCTGAGATATGATTCCCACCAACAATGTGATGACGTCACCTCAAAATTATACATACTAATGGGTTTTAAATTGTATTAAATAACATAGAGCTACACGTTTAGGTTATGAATCCGTATTAATTTTTACCTTAGACATCCAGATTTATAGAAACAAATTAAAATTGCATAAGAACATTTTACAATTTAATTTTGAAACTACAAAACCGAATGCTTTGAAATCTTCCAGACGTTTTAAAGCTATTGTAAGCATGGTAAATTTTTAATCAAAATATATCTGTTTATTGCCCCCCAAAAATTGATGACGTCATCTCAAAATTTTGCGTATTAAATCCTACTTAAAATGATCAGTTTTTACTTTTGATTTTTTTGCATTCATATTTTTTAGATTTGCTTATACAGGTGGCTCAAAAATTAATGAATGAGTCAATTTATTTTTTTAGATTAGGAATGGCTCACTCCATTTTCCCAAAAATTTGAGAATGCAATACTGTTATTACTAGTGTTGCACTGCACCATTCCAAGTTGATATACACGTCCTTTATAAACAAAGTTATGAAGTTAAAGCCTGTTATTATTGATGAGAGGCCATTTTTTCCTGTTGATTATCTGCTTTAAATGTAATTTACATTGTCCGTACTTGTGCAATTTCCACAATCGCTTGCAATTTACTCCTCCATGGCGCAGGGACGGCGGGGGTGTTATTTATGCCGCTGGTTTTTATTTTATAGAGGTTATCACAAAACAAATTACGCAAAATCTAATTTAATATTTTTTCAAAGAAGCGGGATTTGTTGGACTTGTACTTCAGAAGCTATAAATTTTAAAAATCAGATTTAATTTTTCTCACCTGACAATATCAAAAAAGTCACTAGTTAAAAAAATAACAAATTTAAAAATTTCGTTGTTTTGGTATTTGGATTGGATAAAACGTTGCATTGTACTCGTTGTTTTTATTGACAATAAAATACTAAAGAAAAGTGAAAGCTTCGTGTTTTACAATAAATAACTATTTTTTATACGGTCTGACAACCAGACTTGCAGCTTCCAAGTTTCGAAATTATGGAAGCTTATGTTACATATTACATTTTATCGCTTATTGTGTTTGGCTGATTATATTCACTTAGAATATGACAGATAACATGAGCGAAGTTCAATTAGTTCTTGTTAGTTTTAACAAAAAAAAAAGTAGTAACTTTCTCTCATTAATTACACTAGTTTACAAGGTTTTATATCCAAAGACAAAAATAGTTGAATCTAAAGGATTTGGGTTCGGGAAATTCAAATCTGAAAGCAGAAAAAATCCATCACGTCAGGTTTTTGAGATATTTATATAAACATACCCTGTATTTCTTTTCTTTTATACAACTCTTGTAATTTTTTTATTTTTAAATATATATGAACATATAGTTCTTTGAGCAAATTTGTATCATTTTAAAGGATCATTTATGTAAATAAATAACATGAATCAATTTTTCAAGCTAGATTGTCATCAATGTTTTATTTAAAATTTTTCAAGTATTGATTTTAGAATAATTGGTTGCTTTTGATTTTTCTACGGGAAGTGATAATAAAAATGTGAGGTTGCCCTCACAAAGATCTTTTAAAATGATACAAATTTGCTCAAAGAAGTATAGGTTTATCTTTAAGAATAAAGAAGTTACAGGGGTTGTATCAAATAAAAGCCACACCCAGTATATATTATAAACAGTCTGACTGAAAATTAAAAATGATTAACACTTTCTTTTATTGGCAGTACTGTCAGTTTCCCTTATAATAGACCAACAGTAACACATTTTCGTCCCAAAAACCTTGATACCTTCTTTTTAAGCACATTTGAACAGGTCTTCCAGCTTTAGGTACTAAAATTTTACCACAAACGTAAGAAAACTGATTTGCACCTACTTTGCACGATCTCGAAGACATTTTTATGCGACAATGGTGCATTAACATGAATCAGTTTAACACTAACAAGAAGGTAAAAGCAAAGTTCATTATTTTGGATTTATGAAAAAACCTGACGTGATAGGGATTATCCGTTTTTGGATTTGTTATCAGTAAGTAATTTAGAAGTAGAAAATATTTTTTTTATTTTTGGATACGAAAAAAAGTTTAAATTTGTAAACTAGTGTTATCTGTCCATGTAGTGTCACCTTCAATCCATTAATAGAGAAGAGAAGAATATAAACAGACAACTCTAAAAGCGGAATTAATTTTATTAATTCCGTCAGACGCAAGTGATTCCAATGAGTAAGACATAAACAAGGTACATATTTCAAAGCTTCCCAATGCACCATTTTAAAAAATTAGAGAGGAATTAGAATGAGCTTTTATACTTATTATAGCCGAGGCCAGAAAATCATGGACTTCATTTTTATGTCAATTTCATATAGTCTGCCTGTGCCTTTGTGTCACTTCGACGTTGGAAGTTTGAAAAATTGGTCACGTCGCATCCAGTGTCAGCATGTCTGTAGTGTCAAAAATCACAAGATAAAAAAAAATGGGTTATAGTACAGAGTATATATGGCATAGTGCATTATACTCATAAACATACGACGAAAATAAAAGAATGTGATCTACGATCTGCGTATTCTACACAGTCACGCTGTGATAACCCAAACTCTTCTAAAATTGAGACAAGCCCACAAACTTCTAAAACCCTTGAAAGGTTTAAAAAGTGGCCATGAACTGTGATCGTCAATAAAATGGAAGTCTACGTTGTGGTTGGGAACGACGAAATACGTTCAAATGCAAAGTGGTGAACCGTAAAGCTGGAAAACTGACCTAGAATACAAAAATATGGAAGGAATCTTTTTTTTTAAGTTTCCTTTCTTTGTTACAAAATCTCCTCGTTCTTTTCGACTGCAACATTACAAATTTATGTCACATAAATACAGCTTAATGTTAAATTACACAATTCTCTAATTCACAACAGATTATCTAAAGTGAATGGGTAGCAATGTCTAAATTGTTCCTCGATGTGGTACAAATTTAAATACAAACAAAATAAAAACTTATCAGGAGTTCAAATTATAAATCATGGTAATTTCGACGTTGTGTTTTGTAGCTCGCGGGTTTCCATGTTCATGTGAAATTTGGCTCCCGAAGTTATTAGT